TAGTATAAATTAATATTCCATTCTTTATACAGCCTAATATTTTATTTCTTTTTTTATCACAATTGTATTTTGAGCACAAGTTTTGAGCTGTCTACAATGGCAGAGGTCTTTTACCTTAGCCTTCATAGATAATTTAGAAACCAGAAACACTTAGGAATACTTGAAATTATTCCTCTCAATGAAAGGCAAGGATTTTTTTGGGTGATATTTTTTATTGGACCAACTACATGGTTGGGATAGTCAGACAAGCTTTCAAATGCAAGGCATTTTTCATCAGGTCATCCTCTCAATGTGTATTGCCTAACACATTAACATTGAATTTCATCATATTATCCTTTCACTAGTCTTTATTATGCCCTTCTGTAAATTCCTCCAGCCTCTCTGGTGTTGAGTAACCTAATTACTTTTGTGTTACATGAAAAACTTGCCACCTCATGCTTAACTTTCAATTCCAGATCACGGGAAAATACATTAAGCAACAGCTGCCCTCGTATGGAACCTTGTGGCACCCCTTGTTATACTTGTCATGTTGAAAACTAGCTATTTTCTTTCATTGTTTTTCTAGCCCTTTGCCTGTTATGAATTAATGATGGTGCTATACCTCATAAATTGTACCTACTTATTTCATTAATAGACTCCTATATGCAACATTTTTTAAGCCATTTGGAAAGTTCATTCAAATTTTAATCAACCAACTCATTTACATCTGCTGTATTGTTGGTTTGAGCAGACTAGGATAATGCTTTGTGCCATTTTTGGCATTTCTAATTTTGGAATTCTAATTCAGCAATTAATTTGTGTGTTCATACCTAAATACAATCTGGATTTACTATGGTATTTCATGAGTGCTTTGATGTGATGAACACACATTAAACGTTTGGGGAAAAGTGAGTCAGCATACTGTATCTATCGTATCTTGCCAATTAGACTATTACGATGTCAAAAGTAGAATCACCTGCCTTGTTCAGGAAGGCTTCATCCCACCATTTATTATGACATTGCTGGCTGCCTGAAACAGTTACTTTCCAGTAATAGTAGGCAACCATCGATCCTCTGGATCATGGTGTACACGTAAGAGGTCTAGTCAGATGTTTTATGAATCTGTGGCTGTCAAGCCCAATACAAGTATGACACAGCCTGTTACAAGTTTCACAGATCCATATGTTGTCTGAGTTGGAATCCAAGTTTACAACATGCTGCTTTCTTCTTTCTCACTTTGCTTCCATTCTCTGGATCAAAGGCTTTTATGTCAAGCTGCACCCAGTGCCAGATATTCTCTCCAGATTGGCTGGAAAACTGCACGCTCCCCCCAGCTTTCTACGTTGATGTTGAAGAACTTCATATAATTTTTGCACATATCATGGTACTGCCATAGACAGCAACCTTGTTTTCTAGAGCAGTCTCAAATCTCACTATACAAAATATTCTTGGGGACATGGTCTCCTTCCATTCTCCTGACATGGCCAATCCATTGTAACCACCCCTTCTTGATAGTGGTTTCTAAGTGTGTTAGTCCTCCATGCTCCAGTACCTCTGTGTTTGGCATGCTATCTTGACACTTTATTTTCAGGGTCTTACACAGACATCTCATGTGGAAGCTGTTAAATCTCTTGATTTGATTAGCATATGTAGTCCATATTTCTGAACCATAAAGCAGGGATGACAGCACAGAAGTCTCATAGATTTGCATCTTCACCTTAGCTGATAGTTTTCTGTTACAGTCCAAAATTCTCAGCTGCTTTTCTGATTCTGTTAGTCAGTTCAGTCTGAAGGTCAAGATTCCTGCAATCGTAGAACCCAAGTAGCAAAAACTGTCAATGACACCAAGAGATTTATCCTCCAGAGTGATGTCAGGTATTGTCAGGAGAAGCTCTTCCACCCTTTGGTACCTGATCATAGTCTTGAGACTAATTGCCATCCTAAAGCTCTAGGATAACTCAGAAAATCTGCCCATGAGATTTTAAATAACTCTTTTTTTACATATATTCCAACTCATTTTGCAAAAGTGATTGAGTATCATTCTCCCTATTTTGCAAGGGTGGGACGGACTGAGGGAATTCACATCTTGAAAGTTGTCAATGTGCTCTGTACCATACAGACAGAAAAAAGATGCAGTCCATGTGTCTAGCTCTGTAAAGCCTAGATTTCTTTAAAAAACATAAGAATTGCTAATTCATTTACTGTGCCAGACCACAGGTCCATCTTGCCCAGTCTCCTGTGTCACACAGCAGCCGGAGACCCTGGCAGATACCTGCCTGAAGTGTGCCAGGCTACAGCCTCTTCACCGCCTCTCCAGATTGGATGGAAGAGGCTGTACTATTGCCCTCACCTGTTTATTTATGCACTCCCCACCCATGGCCCCACCAAGTCCAGGGACTTCCTGGTCACCCTCTTCCTGGTTCTGGATAAGGTGGTGATTTATCTCACCAGGAAAGAGGCTCTTGCCGGGAGGATCCCCAGAAACTGCAGGGCTGTTTTCCTGTCCCTGGTTTGATCCCGTCTCCATCTTCATTGGACAGTGCCCACTGGCTCTTGGACTTGTTTGAGGGCCAGTGGGCACTGTCCAGTGTGCTCTGCTGTATCCTCTGTCAGGGCACTAATTATAAACCTTTGACCTTCACTCTTGTCCCTGTTATATTTTTACTTGTCTCAAGCAATTAGTTGTCACGTTCCCTGTTGAGGGGAAGCTAATAGTTGACTTGGTGGGCACTGCCCCATGATTCTTTTAAGGCAACAAATTTGCCTGGGTCACAGTAGCAGGAGACCCTGGCACTTGCCTACCCGGAGTGCACCAGGCTACAGCCCCTTCACCACCTCCTCCAGAACTTCTTGCTGAGATTCTGGCTACATTTTTCCCTACTTCTGTTCATTTATGCACTTTCCATCCTTAGCCCCACCGAGTCCCAGGACCAAGCTGGCAATATACCTGACCAGGAAGGAGGCTCTGACTGGGGGACCCCTGGGGACTGTGGGGCTATGTTTTTGTCCCTGGCCCATTCACATCTCTGGGCAGTTTCACTGTGAAGCGTCCATTGGCTCTTTGAACTTGTTCAAGGGCTAGTGGGCAATTTCTGGTGGACTCTCCTCCGTGACCCTGCCTTGGTATACTCATTTTGAACCTTTGACTTTCGCTCTTGCCTATTTTGTTGTTGTCCCACAAATTCAGTTGCTGCATACCCAGTAGCCCCTTCTAGTAACAGTGAGTGCTGTTACTCTGTGGGCATAAGGCCCATGTTCCTGACGTGTCAAACCAGCCTGTGGCGGAGAGTGGATGCTGAAAGGAAGAGTGAGCAGGGTACGACCAGGGTTTTTTTCCGCTGTTCCTCTCCTACTTGCAGCCTTCAGCATTTAAGGTCTAGGAAACTGTGATTCAGAGGCTGTACTCCCTGCTCAATACTCAATAGCTACTTTCCTCATCTGGAAAGCACTTGCACATCTGCTTCAACATATGGCAGCATTAGAATGATGTTGTAGCCATGAAGATCCAGGACTTATGAGAAGGGCAAAGATTTCTTAAGGATGAATGTCTTACATTCAAAAGCATGTCTGACCATTGGCGACATGTAGGGGATGCACGCAGGTGCATGCGCACCCCGAGATTGGCAGTGCACCCCCTGCTAAAAGTGCTGCTGATGCTGCCGGCAGTGCCTACGGGCGGTTGCCGCTCGCACACCCCTATGCTTGCCACCAACACCACCGGCGGCGTCTGTGGGTGGTCGCTGACCGCCAGTCGGAGCTCACCACCTCCCCCACCCCCACCGCTGATACCGCCTGCAGGAACTCCCCACTTGGCTACCCCAGCCTCCAACACCACTGTGGCTGTCTGCGGAAGCGGTCGCTGCGCCCCCCTAGCCTCCAGGGGCACGTGTCGTTCACGTGTCTGACTATCCCAATTCTGCAGTGGGTCCAATAAAAGAGTTCACCCTAAGAAATCCTTGCCTCTCTTCAATATACGCTCCCAAGAAACACCTTCCAGCTCCATGGAGCTGCTACGTGCCAACAGTTAAGCCTGGGCACAAGAGACTGCAGGCCCTCTGCTTCCATGGAAATCTACGGCCCCTGCTACACGTTACATATGTTATGAGAAGTCACTGGCCAGCTGTGCAATAAATTTATACCAGCCCCAAGCATGAGGGCAGTTATCACACGATAAAAATAACCACCCAGCTATAAAAAGAGCCAGACCACCATGGGTGGCTGGTGCCAGCTTAGTCGGGGGGGCATGTGCCCCCTCAGTGACCAGTCAGTAATGGCAGCAGGGGTCCATGGCATATCTCACTGACCGGGGTGGGTCCCCCGTCCGATCCTGCAGACCTGGAAGCACAGCGTGCCAGCAGGTGCACCCCGCTGCCACTGCAGACCACTGTCAGGCTAGTTGAACGGGGGTCCCAACTCTCAAGGCCGGGGGAGCAGCTCAGAGCTGCGTGTCGGGGCGGGGTGCCTGGCCCCGGCTGTTGGGAGCGGGGCGGGCGAGGCCAGACACGCAAGAGGCGGGGGCGGAGGTGGCTGCAGGCAGGGGAGGACGCAGCCCTCGGCCAGAGTCGGCTCCCGGGGGGGCACATGGCTGAAAACCCGCGCGCCTCACGGGGGTCCCAGCGCGGCGGGCGGGGCGGGGCGGGGCCGGG